TATGTTTATGAGAAAACTTTCTGAACTGATTAATCATTTTTTGAATCAGAATGTTGTGCTTGTAGAATTGATTTTTTGAAGTTCAACTTGAAATTTTGCATAGGAAGTAATCATCTTAGTAAGAATAGTTTATTGTCAAAGTTTTGATTTGTTTCTTTCCTAAAATAGAACACATCAAATCTACTACTAGAGTATATAAGCAATGTAAAAAATATCTATCAAGGTAGAGTAGAGTAATGGTTAGAAAATTTCTTCTTAGTCAGGATACGACAAGATTTGTGTTTTTCATTATAAATTCCTCTTGTTGAATTTCATCTCTGTACTAAGTTTCTTAGGTGAACTATGGCATTTTGTTGTAAAATGCATTAATAATCTGAGAATATACATTATGTATATAGTCTCGAGTGAAGAATGTTTAATCAGTTCAGAAACTTTTCTGATCAATTTTTTTTTGAATAAAAAATAATTTTAATCATATTTTCTTAAGGGTCAAGCAGAAGCAGCTTTAACTAAAATGTCATTTGAACGTTTATCAATTTATCGACCAGCGTAAATTTTAATTTTTAATTTTTATATATTTGAAAAAAAAAATATTTCATTTAGAGTTTTAATGGTTGATCGTGTTGAAAGTAGACCATTAGAAAGTTTAACACGAACAATACTTAGTTATACAGTTCAACGTATAGCACCAGAATGGATAACAACACCTATTGATGTTTTAGCACGTGCAATGTGTTTTAATTCATTTATAAAAGATCGAACCGGTGTTGAAATTCTTGATAATCATGCAATATTTCGTCTTTCTGAACAACAACAACAATCAAATTCGAAAACTGATCAATCAAAAGCTACAAATGAACTATAATTTTTCATTAAATTCATATTTTTTTTTTCATTGATTTTACTTTGCTAAGATATGTGATAGTTGTTTTATACAAAAAAAAAAAGAAAACATGTTTATTCTAGATAAATGGATGAAATTTATGAAAATAAATTAATACATTATGTAAGATTATTATTATTTTTTTTGTTATTGGAATATTTTTTTTATGTTTTTGGAATAGAGACGTATTGAAAATATTGTTAAAAATTTCGAAGAAAATGAAGCAAAAACAAATGAAAACATAGAAGCTATCCGTCGTAAATCGTATGATAATTATTTTCATTAATTAAATAATATAATTTATTTTAAATTTTCTAGAAAATCTGATAATGCAAGTATTGGCCCTGCAAATGATTTACGTAAAGAAAAAAATTTTATTTCAATTGTTTTTTGAAATTTTATAATTTAGTTCGCTATTTCTATACTCTTGAACAACAATATCAATCTGATGATAGTGAAACACGAAACAAAGCGGCAGAATCTGTTGTCGAATTGATTAATCAATTTCACCAATCTGATGATGTTGTTGAAGAAGAGGAAGAAGACGAAGAAGAAGATGAAGACGACGAAGAAACGAATGATGATGATCAACAATCAGATCAATCAAATGAGTTACAACAACCTAAATTAACACCTCCTCAGAATCTCGTAAGAATATTTCTATTTTTGACTTCGTCAACAAAATAAATAGATTTATTTTGTCAGAAATTCAGTGAATTTGATATCAAGAATAGAGATGCATTGATTCACAGCTGAAGCTTTGTAATGAAAAAAAGATAGAAAGCCTATTGACAAGACATTAGTTGGTAATATCTTCAAACACTGTTTTCAGATGTCGGAAATTTTTCAAAAATCAAAATATCTATTTATTGTCCTGCGATGATGTTAGTTTATATTTACTCTTTCTTTCTCTCATCAATTACACAAGAATTTCCGAGCAACTAATCATTAGACATGACCTGTTCGCCTACGTAATAGTTTAAAAGTACGGATAGATCAACCAGGTATCTCCTTATTATTTTCGTTAAATGAGTCATTTTTGCAATGATTAAATGAAAACAATATATAAAAAGTGACTCATTTGTTTTGATGCAAATATTGTTTTTAGTCAAGATAATATTAATGTCTTATTAAGGTTATAATTGTTTATTAAATTTATTTCCATAAAGATAACGTAAACAAAAAAATTTCTTACACGAAATAACAAATTAAAACAAAAAGAGACAATCATAATAAAAAAATTTTTTTTTTCATAAAAACAAAACTTCAATTGACGTTATGCTATTTTTATTATATTAATTTCGTTTCGCATGATTGATGAAATACAATCACAATAGAAAAAAAACAACATATGATTAGACATAAAGAAAATGAAGAAAATAATTAACATTTATAATAACAGACAAGAATGTTTGACATTTGATAATCAAATTCCACAACTAGACGAACTCAATATTTATTCTCGAATTAAATTGAATCTAAACATATGTTTCTATCAGTCAATATAAGTTCGATTTGAGTATTTGTTACTGAATTCATATAATAAGATGATGTTATGTCATTTATAATATGAAACGTTCGCAGCTATTCTATTGCAAATTCAAATCATATTAAGTTTTCAATACAGTGACGAAACCAGAGGGGGATCAATCCTCCCCTGGAAGGTTTCAATCATTGGAGGGGGTACAGATGACGGTTCCCCCTCGGAAAAAATTCCTGGTTGCGTTCCTGTTTCAATATAGATTGTAAATGTCAATTTTTAAAATCTATTGTTGATTTTTCAATTTAAAATAAATATTATTCAAGAACATTATTTTATTTTTAGCCGCCACCTACCATTATACCTTCCATATCAACAGCTGTATCACCTTCTTTTTCAATACAACCAGCATCATCTTCTCTTTCAATACTACCAGCATCACCTGTTAAAACTCAAGTACCATCATTACCACACCCGCATTCACACCCTACACCCTCAATAGATGATATTGGTGATATTAAACCAGATACACTTATTGAATATAAGAAATTATCATTTGAAGCTCATCAATATGAAAAACTTTATTCAACAATAGATCTTCCACGTAAAAAACAATTAGCATCTTGTATAAAAAATATAATGAATAAATTACGTAAAGAAACATTTCATACATTAACAAATGAATTATTTGAATTTTTAAATGGACAAGAAAAAGAAGTTAGTAATAAAATAATTCGTATATCAAATAATGAAGGTAATTATTTTTCTAAAATAATATTATTTTTTTATTTTTTTATTTTTGAATAATATATTTTAATTAAGAACGTTTATTATGTTTATCAATACTTACAATACTTATTCTTGCACAATTACTTGGTGGTGATTTAACTGATATAAAAACAGAAATTTTTTTACCATTAATTGGTATTCTTAGTCAAAATCAACGACATAAAGAATTTCGTATTATTTTTCTTGATCGTTTACATAAAAAATGTCCATATACAGTACCATTATATCCAAAACGACAATCAACTATGAATGATAAACAATATTTAGAGTAAATAAATTGATATATTTTGAAAAAAAAAAAAATTTTTTTTTTTGTATCATCTTTTAAAAGAGCAATTGGTTATATTGAAAAACAAGATGGTGATCAACGTCGTTTAGAAACTGAAACAGAATTTCTTAATCGAATGAATGGACTTATTCGATTATTTTGTAAATTACTTGTTAGTCGTGGTCCACCATTTGATAAAGATTTAGCTTTTGCATGGAAATGGTTTTCTGATGTTTTAAATTTACCACCAAAATCAAATATAACATCAGTTTTAATACGTGTTTTTCTTGAAGAAGCCGGTAAAATGATGATGAATGTATATCAAACACAATTTCCAAAAATAATTAATGCTATTCAATTACAATATTTACCACGTTTAGAAAAACAAACAAGTGATGATCAAATGGCAAGACTTCGTTTAACGTTAGATAATTTTCATAAATAAATCATTATGAACTTTATACTTTGTATATTGTTAGTCTGATATAAAGATTAATAAATAAAAATTTTTATACTTAAAAACAAGCATGAAAAATTTTATATTTTTTAAATCAAAAACAATAAGATGAAGTTTACTGTTCATTTATCTCATTATTTATGAAATAAACATCTACTTCAGAACATAATGACATTTTTGAAAACAAAAAAACATTTGATAAAAAGAATAAATAGATATTGTTAAGATATGTTATCTTATATTGAATTTCGTAAACACATGTTGCTGGAAATTTCCAACTATAAAAATGTAATTGCAAAGTAATTTCATTCATACTTCTTGTTTTCACTATGTCAGTAGTACCGTATTTTTTTGCTGCAGTCGGTTCTAGCACTTTACGTATTGTTGAAATGTTTTTTTCAATTTCTAAAGATGCGGAACGTTACTTAAATCATGAAATTGATTTCAAAGAAGCTACAGATGGTATTGTTAAATATATACGGGTTTATGTGCCATTAACAACTGCTAAACTTATTTGTGATACTGTCGTTCTAAGCATGATGAGTCAATGGATTTATGATGTACTTATTCATGTAAGATGGATATTTAAAGGTCTTATTAATTATGGATTTGAAGCTTTTAAAAATGCAATAAAATCATCATTAAAATACATATTTACATCACTTCAGACTTGTTCAATTAGTCTTATTTCAAGTCAATTTAAACATATCTATAATAAACGTGAAAAAGTTTTGTCATCTATATCTATGACTGATTTTTGTACGATTTGTAATCATATTTATCTTTTGATTATTAGTCAAAGAAGTGGTTTTAAAAAAACTATTCAATTAGAACTTATGAAATATTGGTTAGAATGTATGGGTATCATACGTGTAGTAGCTGAATCAAATAATATTAATTTTGTTAAATATATGAATAAATGTTATTCAAATGAAATGTATGTATTTGAATTCATTTATTCTTAATAAATTATTTTTGAATTATTATTAGTTATATCAATAACACATCTTCATCAAATGATGAACAATCTTTTGAATGGAGACGTGTAAAAGATCCAGATTTTATTCAAATCATTACTGTTTCATTAGAAGATATATATCATGGAAAAGTATGTGATGTAATTGTTAAACGAGAAATTCGTGACATAAATAAACGAATACCAGAAATTGAAGAAGTAAAATATGAAGTTATTATTGAACCTGGTTGTGCCGATGGAAAAACATTTCGTTTTATCGAAGCTGGTCATAGAGATCCAGTAAATATACCAGCAGATTTAGTTGTAGAAATTCGAACAGAACAACATCAATTATATGAACGATCAGGTTCTGATCTTATTTACACAGCAAAAATTTCTTTACAACATGTATGTTTTTTTTTTGTTTTCGAATTGTTTACTTTTCTGAGCGTTGTCTATTTAGGCATTAGATTGTCTGCCAGTGCAAATACCATTGATTGATGGAAGAATGAAAGAGTTTTATCCAAGTCATATTATTAATCCAAATACAAAAGCTATTATTGATGATGCTGGTCTTCCTGATCCAACAAATAATGGAATTCGTGGTCAACTTATTGTTAAATTTGATATTGAATTTCCTGATTATAAATTAGGAAGAGAACCTGACGAATGCTAGACATACAATGAGAATTTTCTATAGACTCTTTATACATAGTTGTAGAAAAACTTTGATTATATTTGTTCTTTTATGTACATAATTAAGCATCATACTCACTTGTGAACTATTGTTGTTTTCAAATCGATACCTTATCGCTTTGTATAACAGAATTTTTTTTTCTGCATTAATACGAAAATCGTTCTAATTTGTTAACTAATTATTACATAATTATAATAAAAATACATGCTGCTTTTTTTAATAGAAAATATGACTTTCTCACTATATTGCCGTTGTTTAGCATACAACATGAGTGACACATAGCTGAAGATTTTAAAGATGGTTGTCGAAACAGATTTCTCATTCTCGAGAAAAGCTTAGACTCTTGAGAGTTTTAGATTGTATCATTCAAAAGCTATAAAGTTTTTCCAGGGAGCTTCCATTTCGACTAAATCATCTAGTGTTATTTGAAAAGAAATCAAGATACGAACGTATTTTCTTTCAATGTGTGATCATATTCAATCGAATTCTGCTTGTTTTTCCATTAAAAGTATTTTTATCTAGATTTATCTGACAGTTACTTTATAGAAAATGCTATTTATTTTTTTCTTTTAAAAACTTTAATGCTTACTACTTTGTGGTTTGATGTAACTTTTTCATTGGTTTTTCAAAATGATTTTAAAATGGAGCGAATTTCTGACGAACCTCTTCGAAGTGTACCGATATCGATGACGAAAGTTTTCTTTTATGGAATTTTTCGTAATCTTCTTTTAACATAAAAGTTTCATTTAATCTCCATGGAAAAAAAAAATCATTTGAGTTATTTTAAAACTAACTCCAAATGGAAAATTGATTGTCTTAATATTTAACTCTTCTGAATAATTCAACAAATATTAATGGTTTTCATTTAATTTACCATATTTATTTGGATTTTTGTGTAAAAATATTAAATTTCAACGGCATACGTTTAATATGAAAATCGATCTCCGAATTAATCCTCAATATTCTTCTGTAGATATTTTAATTCATTCAACGACAGAAAAATGATATAAAAATAGTTCAGTAAAAAACAGGATGCTTAGCTTTCTTTGAAATTGTAAGAAATAGTCAAATGTGTTCAATGAGATTTCAACATTGAATTTTGAATTATTCAAAATAGCATGAAAATATTGGTTTTAGTATTGATAAACGATTAATAACGTTTGATGAACGACTCAATTGATATGATTTTTCTTTTGAAATGAAAAATAATCATTAACGATTGGTTTTTTTTCTTCTCATCTCTCTCACAAAAGTTTAGAACTTTTTAAAATTCAATAACAATTGTTGTTTATGTTCAAATTGTGTGCAATATTTTTTTTTTAAAATATTGAGTTTTTTAGTATTTATGTTCATATTTAAATCAAAATTCAATATGCAAAATATTTTGTTTCTTTCATCTTCGTAATAGGTCGTTTTCAAATTAAAAAAATTATGAAGAGCAGCTGTTAATAAAAAAAGAAATACTTTAAGTATAAGATGCTTCAATATTCTTTTGCAACATATTTGTAGGATATTTTCGATTTTCTATACGAAATAAACTTTCTTGTTGTTATAGAACTTCATAAACATGATGCACATTAGAAAGAAAAGTTTGTTTTTAAAAAGGAATATAATTTAAATTACACTAAAATTAGAATTTAGTTTACGTGACTTCTCTAGTTTTTCATTCCATTTTCTATCGTTTTTATTTTCAGACTTGTCGAAGCCAATATAATTTTAAATAGTCATCGAAAATGTCCAGCTGTCACCACTGTGAACAAAAACAAATACTTTTTTTTTTGTTACAGTCGTTGTCGATCAAGTAATTGGCTAGTTTTGTTGGCATATATCTAACTAAATCAGATTCACTTGTGTACATAGACGACATTTGCTTTCAGAGAGATATTGAAAATTTTCTCGCTTTGCCGTCTTCTTACAGTTAATAGGCAGAAGAAAGAAATAAAGGGATGAATGAAGACGATAAAAAAAAAGCAATAGAAGGGAAAAAGAAAAGTTTTGCAATAAATTTCTATACAAAAAAAGGTATAAAATGATAATTTCTTTTTGTTGAGAAATAGGGCTGGCATGATTACCGTTCTTTATGAATTCATCCATAAGGAACATATATACATTTGATAAATCGTTTTTAAACAAGCTATAATGTTTTAGGTATACCTTTTCTTCTATTTTGTGATAACTCATTATTGATTATCGGATTCTTAAGAATGTAAACATAAAACTGACACCCCTTTCAGAAAGACAAGTACACGGTCTGGTAAACTATGGTTTTCTGTATTTATTGATGTTAATACAAGATTATTTTGAATGAATTTCTTTTCAAATACTAAATGTACCGTCATATTCGATGACAAAGGGAATGATAAATTTTCAATCCACTCTTTAAGATAGCACCGTCATATAGTCAGTTCCAATTTTTGAAAAATAGTTTTGCTATTAGGGGGGAATAAATCAGTCAACATTATCGTTTTATACTGAATTAGCAAAATTTTTGTTTCGATTTTTTATGATATAATAAAATATTCTTTAGATAATGTCAGTGAAACAATGAATAATTTAAACTTCACTGTTACTAATGAAGGTAATGAAACTAAATATTTTTTTTTAAATTACAACTATGACAAACATTGTTTTCTATTTTCTCAGAAACAATGATTTTAGGTAAGTTGATATTGTATATTTGAAATTCTTTTATAGTTCTACTTGTGTACATTTCGAATCGCAGAAGCATCCAATCATAAAAAGGAAAGAATACATGATGATCATAAATATGAAGTTGAACCGATAGAAATCTATTACGATACAGAAGATTTGGTAAGTATTGATCAACTAATATGTGCAGAAGATTTTGTAAATATCGACCAGCAAATACATCCACGAGAGATCTTAACAAATCGGTATGATTCTTCATTACATCCATCCAATAAATCTTCTAATCTCAATGATGAGACAAATGATACTCGTACAAGCAATGATAATCTACATCAGTAAGCAAATGAAAGAAATATATGATCTGATTATAGAAACGAGACAAAGTTTTTGGAATACTAATAACAGTTTTCGATTCGATAGATTTTTTTAAAAAAAAGTTTCATTTAAGAAAAACAATGAGTTTTGATCATTTTTAATGCATGAAGAGGACAATCATCATATATCTAATGATGTATTGATTATACTTATAAATTCGATTTTTTATTTTTATACATAATTGAATAATAATCATATATATCTTTTTTTAGATGTGTTAAGATGCGACCATCTGAAAATCGTCGTCTACCTGATTGTATATTCGAGTCAGTATAATTTTAAACAATCTATTCATTGTTTTTCTTAATTAATACTCATTCTTGTTAAAGATTGTTTCGTGGTCAAAATAAACAAGAAGTAATCACAACTCTTAAAAAAGGTCAAGACAAAAAAGACGAGATTTGGTCACATATAGATAAAAGATATAAAAATATTAAGATAACATCAAGAATAAGATCACAAGCAGATGAATATTTCAAGAAAGCATTTGAATCGTATTGTATGTTCTAGTACTATTATAAAATTCTTTGGTTCATATAATTTATGTTTTGATAGTATTCAAAGAATTTTTTACACAAAAAGAATCGGTGAATCATGCACTATCGATATTAGAAAACTTCTCATTCGGTGTACTTATTCTCAACACGAAAACTGAGGTAAAGAAATAATATTTTCTCTAAATAAAGAATTTACTGTCAATTTTTATTGGCAAAATAAAGTTTTAGTTTATCGATAGTGAAATAGTTTCTATATTGTACTTCAGATTAAATAATATTTTTAATCTATTCTATTAAATATATATTTAGATATTGGGAGTACAAAATCATTATGGAACTTGGAGTCCTCCAAAAGAATATATTCAACAAAGACAGCCAAAGAATATATAAAATATTAAATTTTGTTTGATTTTATGTTTATAAGAGACATTCTTGATGATTAATCCTAAAGGTCATCCAAAAATCAAGAATGATGGTACATTAGAAACACCATGGGAAACTTTAATACGAGAATTATGTGAAGAACTTTCAATTAAACTTAAAAGAAGCAAACGTGAAAAAATAATTAACAAAGAAAATATTAATCATTTTCTTTCTTTAAACAAGGATAACTTTCTTCAATGTCGTGTAGATAGTAGACCGGATACTAACGATAGATCACGACTTATTGGTCTTTTAATTGTTCCTGTTGATGAAAAAATATGGAAATTTACTTTAAAAGATTACAAAGAAAATAAGGTATTCACAAATATTTTTTTCGCTTTTACACTATTAAAATAATTATTATTATTCTGTTTTAGGCTTGTGAATGGTTAAATATCGATGACATTATTCGTAACAAACCCATATTTGGACATGACATATACTGTACATTGCGTCCATTCGTTCAGTAAGTTGAACAGTTTACTTTCAAACAAAGAGATTCGTATTTGTCTTTGATTTAGATATGTAAAAGATCATCCAGTGTCTTAACACAAGAAATCTATTATTTGGAAAAAAAAAAGACAAAGTATTTCATCAGGACCAACTGTTTCTAGTTTTTCTATTAAATTTATAATCTTTAATAAATAAAATTTATAAAAACAAAAAAATAGTTTATCACAGATGAATTCAAAGATGATTTTATATATTCAATTTAAAGTTAGTATTTGCTGTTACTAAATAGTACCATTATGACAAGAATATTACCTAATTTAGCATAAAACCATACCCTTCATTAACTAAGTTATCATTAGATCGTTTCAAAGAGTAACTCTAGAAAAATATGAATAAATTAATATTAAATTTAATCAAGAAAGAATTTATTCGGTAAGACAATCACGAGCATTTTCAATAAAAGCATCAATAGATAAAATAATGGTATCATTAAATTTCAAATCTAACTGTTGACACATAGCATAAAGACTTCTAGATATGAAAAAGATATTTTCGTTATTAATTAATTCATTTTATTTATTTTCATCTTAACGACACAAAGACAACAGAATAGGTAATAATTTTTGTTTTTAATTAGAACAAGATCAAAGAAAATCTTGTTCTTTTATTGATAATGTTCATAAGTAAACACTTAACTAAGGATGGATATGAGAAAATGAACTGTCACAAAGTTTTGACTACAATTTAACAGAGTCTTCATCAGATTCATACCTGATCAATCTATCGATTCTAAACACTAAGGAAGAACCATATCTTGATTAACAACATAGTTACAATTAAATATAAAGAAAGTTGTATATTAAAACGTAATAATCGAGTTGTATGCTAATGAAACAATCTCTTGGTGTTTACTCTTTCTTCTAGAAACTCAGACAAATTTTTTATCACAGAAATTTTCATTCGTAGCTAAGGAAAGCACACACGTTTATTCGTGATCTGTGAATGACTTTTACATTGGAGAAGGCAGTTTTATTTTCACAAAGATACAAAGGTATTCATCGAAACAGATATCAATAATCTCAAGAAATATTACATCTGTACTCTACCGCTATTTTTCTACAATTTTTTTCTCCATTAACAGGTGTGTTCATTCAAGTATATCGTCAAGATTGGCGTCTTAGTAGTCAAAAACAAACAATCGATAAAAAGTATCTTGCATCTTCGGAGTGCGAAAGCCTAAAACCAAAAAATTTCGTTGCAACTGGGAGTGAAATTCGAGTTGAAATCCAAATATTTTGAACTTAGCCTGCTGTACATTGCAATTAGCTGGAGACAAACAATCATACTGGTGTAATATATTATTGTAAACGAAATCTGTCAATCCTAATCCAATCTGCACAATAGTAATTGACTGAAATAAATTAGGTATGAAAATATTTAATTTTCTTTCTTTTAGTACTGTTCGAAGAATATTCTTTTTAGGTTGGATGTGAGCGTAAATAGAATGAGCAATTACACCTACATTCACACCTTTTGATGAAAGTGAATCGTGAGTACTGATGTTTGAATCTCCTCCTCAGCTTACGTTAGATAGATCTCGATGACTAGTGAATGAGGCATCTATCGGATCAAATTGTTTTTATTGTGATCAAATATCGATCTCTTCAGTAACGATCGTTTGAGTGACCCCAAAAATTATGCGATAAATAGCCTCTCGGAAATGAGAATTCCAGGTCTCAATATACGTAGAATTTCGATGCTCACACAAAACTAAACGCGATGTGTCGAAACCTTATCGAATAACTGGTTAAGCTTATCCTTGTGTTAGCAATAGTATCCTTTTACCAATTGCAACGCTTGCCATTTTGGTTAAATAATTATTTAAAATAAAAATAGATTAAACTTATCAATGGTAAAGAAATCATTTCATTATTGCGAAATAGTCAGTCAAAGCACATTATGGATATTGTTCAATATTAGGTACGGTAAGTTACTAAATAAAAAGTGATAGACTAAAATACGAATTGCATAAAAGAACTGGTGACCTCAACGAATGCAATTCTGTGTAAATAACTAGATGAACTACTTTGAACGTTTGATGAAGTAAAATCTTGAATAACTAGTTTCTGCATTTTTTTCTTCAAAATCTCAATACTTTTCGTATGCTCTATCGCTTTCTTTGTGACATATAAAATACTCTCTCTAGTCTAAGACATTCTTCTAATAAGGTGTTCATCAATATCAAATAATGAAAATCAATCATACCCCGTCAATTTCACTAATGGTTTCTTCTGATTTAGTCGAGTGCTATATATGTCAAATGAATGCGTTGTTTGTCAAATATTTAGTTTCTTATCTTTGCATCACGGCAATATTCTGATCGCTTTTTCTGTCCCCCTTCTGCTGTGTTTTTTTGAATATTTTTCATCTACACATTTTACTTGTAAGGGCTGCACATAGCAACCAAAAAACACTCAAGGCAAGCAGCACATAATACTTGATTGTAAACAAGAAAAACAAAACCATTTTTGCACAAAGAAATTTAGTTCGTAAGAAGTATATACACCTACATAGATTTCTATACAATGTGCAGTAGTAAATATCGGGTGTGTAGGCGTTCATTCTTCACCCACACTTACATCCTTGTTTTCGCCTCTTAAGTGTAACTACGACTATCAATTATTTATAAATTCCAAGTTTAATCAATTGATGTTACTAAAAAGGAAAAAACCATCTGCTGTTTTTTTTGCGTATTTGCAATCAACAGAGGCTTATGTAAATATTGTTCGATGTTCTTGAATTTCAATTGAAGAAGTTTAGCTGAATGTAAAAGAAGAACGTAATAATAACTGTTACGAATGGAAAAAACCAGTATGAATCTTACTCTTTGATCGTCTCCTATGAGAAGAAATTAATCAAAAATTTATTACGAGAGAAAAACAATGTCGTTTTTTTTTTCATAACATTTCGTTGATTTGAAATAGAAAAAGACAATGGGGAACTCACAGGTAGGTAAACTTTCACAACTATGACGTAATTAATCCATACAAATTTATACTAATATAGGATGATCAACCACCTGCTTATCATACAGTGATGAAATACTCATCTATTTTTTTGGTGACTGACCCTCCACCATCTTATCAGATTTCCATAGCAAAATTGCCTGAACGAAATCCAGTCACTGTCGGTTTTCAAGAAGAATTCATTGACTATAAACAAAATCTATGTCAGAGTTTGAGAAAATTATGGAAGCGATGCATAGCTTATAAATATCTCATGATAGTTGCACTCTTTTTCATTATTCTATCAAGTATGTCATTGATGGCGCTAATCACCGGTATTACGAAACGATTGAATTGTCCAACTTCTCAAAACATACCTGTATGGTTAATTATTTCTGGTGTGATGGGTATTGTCTACTATTGGTCAACAGTTTTTCT